GAGAGAGAGATGCAAATTCATGAATCTTAATTTCGGGCGGGGGGTGGGGAGGGGGTCAGGCCCAGGAATCTGTGTTTTAACACAACACGCTCCATGATCCCGACACTCACTGCAGTTTGAAAAGCATTGCTGCTGGACACGACACACGGGGTGAAGTTGGGATGGCGTATGAGATGCCATGCTCCCTTCCTGAGTTGGCTACTTCCCACCTGTTCAGGTGTTCATTACCCACCCCGCCCCACTCCTTCCTTAGCCTGCCTTGGAGCAGGAGAAATGCTGTGGAGGCTGGCAGGGGCCTGAGGAGGGAGAGGAGGTCTTGTCTCCTCCTCCCCCTCTCCACGGTGACCTAGGGTAGCAGGTCTGGCCCCTTCCTGTTTCAGCAGAACCTGCAGAAGCTGTGAGAGGATCGGGAGATAAGCTCTGCCCTCCTCAGACCTAAGCAGGGGAAAACACACAAGACCTTTGCAAAGTGGGCCCTTCCCAGGCCAGGAGCTTCTCTGCACCCTGGCAATGCCCTGTGGGGGCAGCTGGGAGGTCTCAAGCTGAGTTCCCAAGTACCATTCCATCCTCCCCCATCCCTTGGCCCCTCTACTGAGGTCTCTTCCCCCCTCCTCTCAAGGATCTGAAACCGACAGTGAGCTGCTGGGAGCACACAGCAAAGATGAGCCTCTGAGATAAGCATGCATGACAAGAATTCACACGATTACCCTGGTCCTGTTCCACGTTCTCAGTGGGACCTGATTCAAGGTACCCAGAAGCAGCTCCTCACATGTGCAAAAGCGAAAGTGGGGGCAAGTACCAAAGGAGGAGAGCCGGGCTCCCAGAGAGGTAAAAACAAAATGCAACAGGGACACATGAAAAAGTCCTGCACCATCCAAAAAAGCCAACAGTTCATGTCCAAGATCAGAGTAAGGGGGTGCAGGGAGCAGGGAAGCGTGACAGCCATGGGAAACAGATTGAAGGTTTCCAACAGATTCCACGGAATGGCTTGAATGCAATCTTGGCCACACTGCTATGGATCACAGCGTAGGAAGGTGACAAATCTACTCAGCTGTCCATGGGGACGGTCAGCCTTGGACCCCACATTCTGGATGCACTGTAGAGAACTGGTGTCTTTCCCAAAGATTTATCATGTCATGGGAGGAACAGCTGGAAGAACAGGACATGATTAACCTGGATAAAAGACAATTCTGGAAAAGCTACAAGAAAACTGACTTCAAATACTTAATAGAGCTCTTAAGCAGAAGACAGAGCCACTGGATCCATGCTGCACAGTGAAGATTCGCCGAGGCCCAGTCACACCTCTGCCATCTAGGTTCTGCCTTCGCTCCTGCCATGCTCAGCAACATCCTTGTTGCCAATGACATCCCAGACTGAGGCAGTCCCATGTCCCAGTCCCAGGTCTGGCGCAGGTAGAGGTTAAGGGCTTAGAGTCAAAAAGCCCTGAGCTCTAGACCTCACCCTGTTCCCTCTCCTGTCACCCTGGCCCCAAATCGCAGCCCCCCTGGGACTGGGGTTTCTTGATGAGTAATATAGGGATGATCACCCCAGCCCTGTAAGGTCCTAATAAGGATCCAGTCACTCAACACACACATATCGAGCACCGTGCTCCTGCTGAAAATCGCCTCCTGGCCAGGCACAATGGCTCACACCTGTAATCCCAGCACTTTGAGAGGCTGAGGCAGGTGGATCATTGGAGGCCAGGAGTTCTAGACCAGCCTGGCCAACATGGTATAACCTCATCTCTACTAAAAATACAAAAATTAGCTGGGTGTTGTGGCAGGCGCCTATAGTCCCAGCTACTTAGGAGACTGAGGCAGAAGAATTGCTTGAATCCAGGAGGTCCGGGTTGCAGTGAGCCCAAGATCATGCCACTGTACTCCAGCCTGGGTGACAGAGCAAGACTCTTCCGAAAGAAGAAAAGAAAAGAAGACAAGAAACTAAGGCACAGAGAGGCTGAGACACTTGTAAAGGTCACAGAGCAAATAACTGGTGGAGGCAAGATCCACACCTAGACTGTCTGACTCCAGAGCCACACTTGACAGTAAATCTGCCTGTTACCCAGGCAAGGAAACAGGCATGGAAAGGCTAAGGTGCTTGCCCAAAATCAGACAGCGACATATTCAGGAATCCAGGACTGTGGTTCCAGGGCTGGCACACTTAGCTGCCTTACAGCTGCCCCCATGTGGGCCTTGCTCACCTGTTCCTCACACTGATCCTGGTCTGTGTGCTGGGAGGTGCTGAGTACCACCTGGCACACACCATCATGCAGAATGTGCTGAATGAGCAATACCAGCTTATTTATGTAACCTGAGATCTGCTGACTGACGGAAACCAAGCACTGGCAGATGGATGGAAGATAGGGGCCAGGTGTTCTCCTCTGAGTCACTGACCTCCTGTGAGCCAAGGGGTGCTGCGGTTGAGAGGGTCTGACAACCCCCGGATGTCAAGGACCTGTGTCCCCATGGCCATCTGTTCAACACCAAGATCAGAGAAGGGCAGGGAAATGGCCCCTGCTGGTCACCGGCTGCGCTAACTGAGCACTTACCATGCGCCAGGCCTCTTCTGGGTGCTCATGTGCTCCTGGGAGTAACAACTGCAGCTGCCTCACAGGACTGTTGGGAGCAGCCTTAGTAAATGGAATTGTATTTGCAGAGTGCTTGAAACAGTGCCTGGATCAATCACTGCTTGCCCCAGTGTTTCAGGCTGGGTTTCTCCAGAAGCCCACTCTGAATGAGGATTTAAGTACAATATTTGTCTGCTCTGAAAATGACCCCAGCAAGCATCTATAACAAAGTGGGAAAGTAAGAGAAGGATAAAGCCAAAAGAGGGTGCATGACCAGGTTACCTATGTGGGTTCAATCCTGCTGGGGGCCTCTGGGGGCTGTAGAGAAGCCCCTCAGTATCCTACCACCTGCAGGCAAGAAAACTGGGATGTAGAAAGCTGCAACAGAAAGCAAAGGAGCAGCCAGGCACAGTGCCTCACGCCTGTAATCCCAACACTTCGGGAGGCTGAGGCAGGAGGATCACTTGAACCCAGGAGTTCAAAACCAGCCTGAGCAACACAGGGAGACCCTGTCTCTACAAAAAATAAAAATAGCCAGGCATGGTGGCATGAGCCTGTGGTGCCAGCTACTCAGGAGGCTGAGGTGGGAGGATCCCTAGGGCCTGGGAGGCGGTCAAGGCTGCAGCGAACCGTGATTATGCCACTGCACTCCAACCTGGGCAACAGAGCAAGACCCTGTCTCAAATATAACAATTTTTTAAAGAAAGTAAAGGAGTGTAAGGAGATAGGATCCCAACAGTGACCCCCACACCAGGCTCTTCTGAAAATTTCAGGAGTGTCCTCAGGGATTCTGGACACCATGTATAAAGATGATGACAAACTGAGCTCAGGTGGGAGTAGGGGGTTCTGGGCCAGAGCCCACCTCATGCTGAGGTTGACAAAGTGTCTCCAAATGTTTGGGAAAAACCCAAAGGCCTCCTCTGAAAAACATCTCCCTCCCTCTAGTGAAAACCTGAGATCACCCTCTGAAGTATTTCAGGCAAGGCTAGGATGTGATCCAATCTGCACTGGAGAGTGATCCCACCAGCTGGGATAAGAGCTTAGGAGGCAGGGCAAGCCTAGGGAGGCTGGAGCAGGGCAGAGGGACGTACAGTCTCCTCCAGCACCCTGGCAATGCCTGCCAGGCATGGTTCTGAGTGTCGGATCATTGGGGTCTCCCGGCAGGGGCGGGGAATTTAAGGAAGTGAATGAACTCACTCCTCTGAGAGTTGGGAGGTGGAAGAACTGGGCGAGGAAGTATCCCAGCTGCTTCTGCTCTGGACAGCTACACAGCAGGGGAGGGGCAGTGAGGCAGGCAAAGCCCCCCTGCAGGGCGAGAAAGTATCCCAGCTGCTTCTGCTCTGGACAGCTACACAGCAGGGGAGGGGCAGTGAGGCAGGCAAAGCCCCCCTGCAGGGCGAGAAAGTATCCCAGCTGCTTCTGCTCTGGACAGCTACACAGCAGGGGAGGGGCAGTGAGGCAGGCAAAGCCCCCTGCAGGGGTCTCCTTGGCTCATGAACATGAGGAAGATGAGGGCACTCTGACCCCTGTATTCTTGGATAATTTCCCAGGCCCTCCCACAAGCCCCCAGTTAGAGAAACAATGGTTTCTAAAAGAAACTACTGGAATGTTGGACAGGGACCCTGGGATATTCAAGGGCCAATCCCAGGCAGTTCCAAGAATAACCCAACTGGACCACTTCCAAGATGTTCTTCCTAAGAAGCATTCGTAAATAAATCAAAACTGCACTCCTGGGTCTCACACGAAGGTCCCCACAGCCCCGCACTCCCCAACCCCACAGTCCCCAGAATCTTCTCTAGCTCCTGGGAGGTCCAGAAGGCAAAGCCTGCTCACTGGTGAGGTCCCAAAGTGCTTTGCAAGTAAAGTACATTTACAGGTGAATAGGAAGGGAAGGGAGGGGAGGCAGGTTCGCACACGGGCAAAAAGCACCGTCTGGGCTGAAAGGAAGATCAGAGGTGATCCAACCTGTTTCTAGAACTGGGGCAGAAGAAGAGGGACACGTGAGGGTACGCAGCTGGTTGAGGGCCTAGGTGAGCCACAGAGCAAAGGGGGTGCATCTTATTGGTACCTCAACTTCACTCATAAACACTGAAAACGCTGAAAAGGTTGAGCCATAGATTATATACGGAAGCACAGGCCCAGAAAAGGCAAGAGTGAATGTTTAACACAAAGAAGACCCATCTTCCACCTCCAGGACCCCCAGATAGCATTCCCTCAGGCAGCTGGGAGGAGTACTCCGACGGATCATTTTGGATGCTCGAAGCTAGTGCAAAATGACCCATATTGCAGATGAGAAAACAGGGCCAAGGACGGCAGGACCCTGACCAACTGCATGGAAGTTCACCACAAAACTTCCATGGGCCTTGCCTACGGGCTCCTCGGACCTTTTTTCAACCCTGTTCTTTACCGGAAATGGGTCTTCCCACTCTCCCTTTTCTATTTGCTCGCTCTTCTTTCCCAGGAAACTATTTGCAACAAAAGCAAACGCGAATTCAGGAAAAAGACTGGCTCATCAATCACGTGTTAATGGCACTCGTGCGCATTGCGCATGCACATGCTAAACCCCACCCCCAGTGCCCCACTCCACCCCTCACCAACATGGCCGCCTCGATGACAGCCCCTCCTGCGCGTTACGGACGTAGCGACTCGTGACGTCATAGGAAGGCGACGGTTGTCGGCGGGGGCTACACGTGTACAAGGGTTTGGAAATTTACCGGCTGAGCCATGGACACACCGCTAAGGCGCAGTCGACGGCTGGAAGGCCTACTGCCCGAATGCTCCGAGAGCCTCACCTTAGTTTCGCGGGCGAGACGGGCCCTTGTGGAGTTCGAGTCGAACCCAGAAGAAACGAGGGAGCCCCGGTCTCCTCCAAGTGTGCAGCAAGCTGGCCTGGGCTCCCCCGAAAGGCCGCCGGAGACAAGCCCAGGATCACCCAGTCTGCAGCAGGGTGCAGGCTTGGAGTCCCCCCAAGGGCACCCAGAGCCAGGCCCAAGCTCCCCCCAGCGTCAACAAGACCTACACCCGGAGTCGCCTCAAAGACAGCCGGAGTCCAGTCCTGAATCCCCACGATGTCAGCCGAAGCCAAGTGAGGAAGCGCCAAAGTGTTCTCAAGGCCAGGGAGTACTGGCCTCGGAGTTGGCCCAGAATAAGGAGGAGCTGACCCCGGGGTTCCCCCAGCATCAGCTACCGCCGGGTCCAGGGTCACCAGAGCCTTACCCCGGTCAGCAAGCTCCAGGTCCGGAGCCCTCGCAGCCACTACTGGAGCTGACACCCGAGACACCTGGCTCCCCCCGGGGTCAGCACGAGCCGAGCAAGCCACCTCCAGCTGGAGAGACGGTGACAGGCGTCTTCGGGGCAAAGAAGCGAAAAGGTTCTTCATCCCAAACCCCAGCGTCCAAGAAGTTGAAGAAGGAGGAGCTTCCTGTAATCCCGAAGGGGAAGCCCAAATCGGGGCGAGTGTGGAAGGACCGCTCCAAGAAAAGGTGAAGTGGGGGACAGCATGGACAGGGATGGGGTTCTCTATAGTGTTGTGAACCTGCCTTTCCCTGCTGCAGCCTGGAGAACAGCCCTAGGGTTAGAGAGAGCTCATATTAATGGGGGTGTCAGCAAACAGGTCATTACAGTCAGAATGTGGTAAAATGCCCTGGGATCCGGGGACGGATGGGACCAGGCCCTCAAAGATCAATTTCTCTGATGCCTTTCCTCCTCAGGGTCCCTATGGGCCTCTCCTGTAGCACCTCAGTTGTGTATTCGTTCTGCAGACATTTACCGTTGTCTGCCCTCTCCGGTGAGAGAGACAGAAGCAAGTAAACCAGCCATTACTTGATCAAAGCAGTGAGGTCTTCAATATAATCTGCTAGTTATTTGCCTTTATGATAAAAAAGTATTACTGAGTACTGATTATATAGGACATAGTGCTAAGCACTTTAATAAGGATTTATCAGTCAACAGCCTTTCCAACATGGAACAGCATGTACCATCACACTTACTCTGCACATCTGCCCTGTGAAGCAGGTGGTGTTATTATTCCTGTTTTTCTGTGTGAGGAAACAGAGGCTAATTGAGCGGTCGGCACAGGACCTGAGCACAGATCTGATTCTGAAGCCTGTGTGCAAAACCCTTTGCCCAATCCCAGTAGATCCACCTTGAATTGGATTGCAACCTTCTTAAAGGCAGGCACGAGATCTTTCTTGTCTTTCTGAGCCAAGGGCATAGTAAATGCTCAATAAATGCTTGTTTAATGAAGGAACAAAGTGGTTCGTCTGAAGAAGGAAGAGTTTAGGCTGCCTTGAAGGAGAAGTGTGGGGTTCAATTCCAATTGGAGCTAATGGGAACCATGGGGGAGAGGCAGGGATGCGTGCCTGTGAGGGACCTTGAGGCAGGAGGGTGTTTTTAAGGAAGAAGCTGACTCTGGGCCAGGCTTTGTGCTAGGCCCTTTTCTTGTACCCTTAAAACCCTAGGCAGTGGGTATTATCCCCCCACCCCTCATTAAACAGAAGAAACTGAGGCTTCCAGAGTAATTTACTGCCAGTCTCCCATGAGAGAGGGACTTTGAAGCTAGAGTGACTGTCAATGTTGGAGAAGTGGATGATGGCACTACCCCTCCACCCTGTCCCAGCAGGTCACAGGAGAATGGCAGGGCCACTGATGGCCTTGTGGAACTGGAGGAGGCTGGTTCAGGTGGGAGGAGAGTGATGAGCAGGTTGAGCGGTGGAGCTTGGGGTCCTGGTACTTTCGCCGTAGGTGGGGAGATGGGCTTGCTGAGCTGGACAGGGCTGAGCCCACGCACAGGTGGGGAGAAGGGAGGGACCCACACAAGACACTTGATCAGCAGCTGGAGGAGAGTAAGAGGCCACAGATCACTTGACCAAGAAGTCCGGAGGGAGGGTGTGTGTACAGCTCCCTGCCCAACTGCAGACCCTTCCTGACTCACTATGGCTTGCTCAGAGCATGCACTCCAGCCTCCTTAGTAAGGCCAACAGGCCCACTCTCCTCTCCCCTCCATCACTGGAGCTTCCACACCGACGTCCCCTCCATATTCCTCCCGTGTGTGATGCACCCTCCTTCCTCGGCGCCTTCACATGTGCAGTTCTGTCTGAAAGGCTCTTTCCTGGCCAATCCCCCACTCATGTTCCAGGGCTCAGCTCAAAAGTCACCTCCTCTGAAAAGCCTCTTTGGCCTGTCCAACCAGGGTTAAGTCCCCATGCTTTATGTTATCACTGTGCCCTGTGCTTCTCTTTTGTAACACCTCCATTTGCACAGATGCTTATTTATTTGTGTGACTCTTATTGACTGCCTGTTTTTCTTTAAACCAGAGGTTCCATGAGAGTGGGGACTTGCCTATCATCATGAGATCCCCCAGAGCCCAGCACAGGGTAGGCACTAAGCTGAGCAAGTGTATGAATGAGGACAGAGGTAATTCATTCATTCTTCAAACAATTTTGTTCAACATGGCTGTGAACAAAAAGTCCCTGCTCTCCTGAAGCAAACATTCTAATTGTGGGAAACAGATAAACATAAGGACATAGATGCTATGTCAGTACTAAAGGCTTTAAGGAAAAATAAACCAGGATGAGGACACAGAGAATAACAGGGAGGGCAGGGTATTGCCACAGTGCTCAGAGATGGCCTCGCAGAGGGAACCAGGGAGAGGTCTGGGGAAAGAGTATCCGGGCAAGAGGAAAGGGAAGTTCAGAGGCCTTGAGGCGGGAGCATCTCCTGTTTCGGAGGCATTCCAGAAATCTTGCTGCTGGAATGAGGGGGAGAAGGGGAAAAAGTAGGAGATGAGGTCAGAGAGACAGCGGGCGTGGTGACCCTTGCAGGGACTCCAGCTTTCTGAGCTTGAGAGCCATGGGAGCGTGTCAAGCAAATCAATGAAATGACCTGCCTTGGGAGGTCAGTCTGGTTACTGAAAACAGACCTCAGCGGGCAGGAGGGAAGGCAGGGAAACCACAAGGAGGCTGTGGAAGGAGAACTACAGCCGCTTCACAAGCTGCAGGCAGATCTGTGGAGAAAGGCCAGCGGGGCCACTGAATAGATGTTTGGGGTCTTCGAGGGAGCAGCTTCGGTGGGTGGTGAGTGAGCCCAGAGATGCGTCAGAAGCAGCACCCACTGCAGGGAGGAAGACGGCCGCAGCCGGGAAAGTGCGTGTGGTGGGGAAGACCTGCCTGCAGCCCTGCCTTCCTGCTCATGCCAGACGCCACTTTCTCCATAGTGCCCCTCAGGCGTACTGGCTCCCTTCTCTAAGGAGGAGCATTTATTGAGCACCTATTATGTGTGTGTCAATTACATCTCCCACCGCCCTTTGGGTTAGGAATGATTCTCATCTCCACTGGCGAGACTGCTGAGACTTAGAGGCCACTTGCTCAAGGTCACCTGGGTGGTAAGTTGTTGGACTTGGAACCCAGGCCTGAGTTCCTTCAATACCCAGGTGAACCGATGATCTGCCTCAGTTCTGTGCTGGGTCAGTACCTTAGCCACCAGCCACATGTGGCTGTGTACATTTACATTAAATAAAATTTAAGATTCAGTTTCCCTGTCAACACCATATTCCCGGCGCCCAGCAGCCACCCATGACTAGTGGCTACCTTATTGGGCCATGTCCATGTAGAATGCTCCCACCATCACAGAAAGTTCTGTGTGGCAGCCCCACTCTACAGAGATGGGGCGCCATGTCCTGGGGTGTTGTGTGTCTCCAGCCTCCCACCGCCTTGTCCCTTCAGGCCTCTCATACCCCAGCTTGGGAAGCCCAGCTTTACAGTTACGGGGGACGTCCACATGATACCCCATTCTTAGTGCATAGGAGGCCAGGGCTTCAGTGGCAGGGCCTTGGGAAGGGGAGAAGGAGATCGGGAGCTGGGGCCAGGGGTCAGCGGGGCCAGAGGACAGCAAAATGCTCCTCGAATCTTTGAAAGAGAAAGACCTAACTTCAGTATGTGGAGGGCACCAAGAGACGTCTCGTCTTATTTTTACTTATTTTTATGGAAATTTCCAAGCATACAAAGAAAGAGCAGAGCTCTCATTATCAGCATCAGCTAGTCCAGCTTCATCTTTGATCCTTGGCATTTTTTTCCCTGAAATATTTTAAAGTGCATCCTAGATGCATTATCCCATCCATAAATCCTTGTAGTATGCATTCTTTTTTTGTTTTGTTTTGTTTTCTGAGACGGAGTTTCATTCTTGTTGCCCAGGCTGGAGTGTAATGGCGCCATCTCAGCTCGCCACAGCCTCCGCCTCTCAGGTTCAAGTGATTCTCCTGCCTCAGCCTCCTGAGTAGCTGGGATTACAGGCATGTGCCACCACGCCCAGCTAATTTTGTATTTTTATTAGAGACGGGGTTTCTTCATGTTGGTCAGGCTGGTCTTAAACTCCTGACCTCAGGTGATCCACCTGCCTCAGCCTCCCAAAGTGCTGGGATTACAGGCGTGAGCCACTGCGCCCGGCTTATGGTATGCATTCTTACAGAGTTGAGCTCAGTTCTCCCGTAACTCCAAAATCATCGTCGCTCTTAAGAAAATTCAGATTTCCCTGAGAGCCCTGATGTGCCCACTCCATCCATGTCCAACTGGGGGAAGAGATTCTTTTTTTTCTTATTTGAGGCAGTGTTGCTCTGTCTCCCAGGCTGGAGTGCAGTGGCATGATCTCGGCTCACTACAACCTCTGCCTCCTAGGTTCAAGTAGTTGTGCTTCAGCCTCCCAAGTAGCTGGGATTACAGGCGTGCACCATCACGCCCAGCTACTTTTTGTATTTTTAGTAGAAACTTTAGTAGGTTTTAGTAGGTTTTGCCATGTTGGCCAGGCTGGTCTCCAACTTCCGATCCGCCCACCTTGGCCTCCCAAAGTGCTGGGATTACAGGCGTGACCACCGCGCCTGGTCTTGGTGGGTAAGATTCTGAATCATTACCCAGAACTCCGACCAGTCACACGACTCTGAAATGGAGTGCACCACCTCCATCAGGGTGAGCGCCCCACCTCCAGAGGCATTCACACCCAGGCCAAATGCACTTGGCAGAAGCAACAGAACTTTACAGCGGGGTCCGCGTAGCCTGGTCTCTGCAGTCGCTGGCAGGGTTCGAGTCCTGACTGCCACTTAGGACAAGGTGTTTTTGGACAGCTTTTAACTTCTCCGCACCTTGGCTCGCTCCTCTGTGTGTGGAGAGGATAGGAGTACCCACCTCAGACGCATGTAGACAAGGCTTGAGAAATGGCAGCCAGCACAATCGGGGTTCCTTCCCGCCCCATGTTTCTGCAGACCTGGAGGGCTGCCTGTCAGGCCAGCAAGGAGGTGGTTCCACCTGGGCTCTGGGGAAGAAGGTTCAGAGCCTGTGGCCAAGAAGAGCCAGGGCGCAGGTAGCGCTTGCTCCACAGACCCTAGAAGCACTCCTCTCCCCCTTTCAGATTCTCCCAGATGCTCCAGGACAAGCCCCTGCGCACATCGTGGCAGCGGAAGATGAAGGAGCGACAGGAGAGGAAGCTGGCCAAGGACTTTGCCCGTCACCTGGAGGAGGAGAAGGAGAGGCGCCGCCAGGTGAGGGGCCAGCCAGGCTGAGGCTGGGGCTCGGAGGGCCGTGCTGGTGTCTGCTGGGACAGACCTGAGTTGTGGGCTTCCATGCGTGTCTGCGGGAGGCCGACTTGGTTAAGAAACATTCTTGAATCTGAAGGCCCCAGGGAGGAAGGGCGCCTGGCCAGAAACAGAAGTACAGTCTGGGGCCACGGGGCAGGGAGCCCAGGGGACCATCCAGGATAGTCTAGGCCTCTGAAAGAGCCCCAGGGACAGGGACAGGGACAGAGGGGAGGACCAGAAGCACACCTTGGGGAGAAGCCCAGGAGGAAGCCCTGAGTGGTAGGCGGTCAGTGAGATGGGGTCGAGGCCCCTTTCCTGGGACCTCCTCATTTGGGAAGGGCTTGCAGATTGGAAATCCACATCCCCAGTATGGCTGCTGTCTCTCCAAGAAGCAGCCCCCACACCTTTCTTCCCCTTCTGTCCCCTGTCACTCATCCCAGAGCCAGGAAGCCCCTGTGAAGGGTCACAGCCTCACCCACATCTGCCAGGGACTTTTCAGGGCGGGGAAGAGGGCATTCGGCAGGCAGCATGCAGAGAAAGCGGGGTGGCGTTGGTAGGCACCTGCCCCCAGGGCAGTCAGGCAGTAGGGGGTCTCCTCCTCCACTCCTCTAATGACCGCAGGGCTAGAGGAGGAGCGCTGAACGGGATTCAGACAACTCACCCCTAGCCTGTGGTCCCAGCCTGGCCACTGAGAAAAGGAGCGGGCCCGTCACTCAGTCACCCGTCACCCACTCTAAGTCACCCCAGCTCAGCTTACAGCTGACCTCCTGGGAACAGTGTGTCTGCCACCGTATGCTGAGGCCTTATCTCTCTTCCTGTGTGGCCCTGGCTCCCTCTTGGGCAAGACAGAGCTACCGTCCTGCTTCTCACTGTCCACTGCAGAGGCTCCTGCCCAGCCCCCAGCCCAGACCTGCCCTGATCGCAGGAGCCCAAGGCTCACTTATCCTTTCCCCCCAGGGGCCTGGGCCACCTCTGCTACTCCAGGTCGCCAAAGCCACCAGAAACCCCTAACCATGCAGCAGACTTGGAGCCAGTGTCCCCGCCCTGGCCCCACCAGGGGACACAGTCAGCATGACACAGTCTGAGAGTGCTGGATGTCCCCTCCCAAGACAGACTCCATCTAGTCTCACTGTGCCCAAGGAGCTGGGGCTGCACCGAGCCCGGCATATACATTCCCTCCCTTATCTCTCAAAACTATCTTATGAGGTAGATCCTGTGGTCACTGTCACTTTAAAGATGGAGAAGCTGAGGCACAGACTTAGCCAAGGTCACCGGTTTAGGAAATAACAGGATCAAGATTCGAACCCAGGCCAGAGAGCTCCAGGGCGTCTTCCGTGCAGCGCAGCCCCGCCCAGCCCCACACCTGCGATGATCTCGGGTACCAGCCCTCACCCTAGCCTGGCTTTCTGCAGCAGCAGCACTTCAGAAGCGGAGACTGTCCAAGAGGGTGGGAATGGGGAAGGGCCAGCTCCCCTTTCTCTCTTGGCAGTTGATGAGAGTGGCACAAAGGGCCACTGTCTGCATGTGTGTGAATCTCCAGGTGGGCACCCCCGTGTCTCAGCCCACCCAGGCCTCCTGGCTCAGCCCCTGTCCTCAGCTGCCTGTCCCGCGCCCACCTCCCAACATGTAGTCAGGAGCTTCCACCACAGCGGGCCCTGGCACGAGACCATGGCACAGGATAGCTCCTGTGGCCCTCCACCCACACCACCCACCTGGAGCCCGGCTTAGAGGGCCCTTCCCCCTCCTCCTGGGAATTCTGTCTGCTCCCACTCTTCTGGAGCCTGAGAGACCAGGGCCGCCTCTGCTCCCAAACTCAAATCCCCTTCCCCACAAATGTTCCAGGAGAAGAAACAGCGCCGGGCTGAGAACCTGAAACGCCGCCTGGAGAATGAGCGGAAGGCAGAGATTGTCCAAGTGGTGAGTGTTTCGTTTTCCCCCACCCTTCTGTCCCACTTGGGGGTGCAAACCAGGGCCTCGACCCCTGCTGCGTGTGTCCCCACTGTCACACTGCAATCCCAGGCCCTTGTGGGGTGGCCTTCCTCTCCCCTGGGAACTTGGACCAAGGCTGCAGCGACACTAATGCTCTCCCCTCACACCACGCCCAGATCCGAAATCCTGCGAAGCTCAAGCGGGCAAAGAAGAAGCAGCTGCGCTCCATTGAGAAGCGGGACACCCTGGCCCTGCTGCAGAAGCAGCCACCCCCACGGCCGGCAGCCGAGATCTGAGCTCAGGACAGCCGAGGCCGTCCATGGCCAACCACCATGCCAGACACAGCACCTCCAGCCGCTGCTCAGATGCCTCTGCTGGCTCCGGCACTCCAGCCCCTTGGCCCCAAAACAGGGACCCCACCGCGACCGGGGCTCCTGGGCCTTTGAAGGCTTGCAGACAGGTCTATGTGGGACACAAGCCCAGAGGAGGCCTGGGACCTGGCAGAGATGTGGACGAGAAGAGAATCAGCCCCTATTCCTCCTTCCTCCCCTTCTCCAAGTGCCTTCAAACCAAGAACAGTACATTCTTCTGGTTCCTCAGTGAGCTGGTGACTGACGGGTGGCTCCCCCAGTGGTGTGTGTCTTGTTTCAGTGTCCTGGGTCCATCCCAGGCCTGGAGGCTGGCAGCTGGGAATCCAGCTTCCCCTACACCTTCCCAAAGGCTGCTCTGGGCACCTCTGCACCCCGCTGGCTCTGTCCCCAGCAAGCTGAATCCGGCTCCCCATTCTCAACACTGAAAGATTAAAATGGCGAGGTCGCAGGGAACAGGGTTTTTCCCTAGCACCCCCTCTCCCAAGCCAGATTCTGCAGAAGCCCCAGAGAATCTAACTCCTGTCCTTCTAGTCTACAGCACAAATATTTATTGAGTGCCTGTTGCATACAGGCACAGATGGTAGGCACCAGCAAATACATACAGTAGACCAAAGTCCCTGCCCTCGAGGTGCTTTCATTCTGATGGAGAGAAAACATAATAAACAAGCAAAATGTACCATGTGTCAGATGGGGGAAGTGCTGTGAGGGGGAAGGGATGGGAGGGAACATGGGCGAGCTGTCAAGACGGGCTGGCTGTGCAGCCAGCTGGGTACCTCACTGTTTCCTTTGCTGAACACCTACTGTGGGCCAGGCCTTCCATGACCCAGGCCTTTGGTGGCACAAGAAACACAGGACCAATATCCCCAGAGTTTCTCGTCTTTTTTCACTGACGTTTCATCCACCCTGCAACATTCATTGGCACCAACTCTGTCAGTCCTGGGCTGCAGAGCTACAACACAGTGGTCTCTGACCTCAAGTCCGTGGCAGGCAGAGGAATGAGACGTGGTGCAGTGGAAGTGCCAGGTCAGAGATGCAAGTTACCCCTCCTACCCACAAATGGGAAGTGGTAGCTGCCCAGCCCCGTGTGGGCTGGAGGCAGGGGCTGCACAGATCTTGGGATTACCACTGTCCAGGGGATCCCACAGAACAGCAGGCCTGCAGGGAATTCTAGTCAGGTTGGCTAAGAAATGACATGCTGTGGTCTCAGAGCTGCTGTGCCCATTCGAATTCTAAAGACCAAAGACCTTTGGTCATTTCGCCCGTTGGATTTGATTAGCCCTAGGTTTCCCGAGAGATTGACCCTGGCATCCCCTGCTTCTGCCTTGGAAGTACCTTGGGCAGTGATGGGTCACAAGGTAGCGTCTTAAGTCCCTCAAGTAGCTCAGAGGATGTCCTCGCTCACCGGAGGGTAATTGAGCATGTGATGCCACAGTAAACGTTGGCTAAATGCAGAGGGCAGGCTGGAACTGTGCTTCTCAAAGCTTTCCTCTCTCTTCTCCAAAAATACATAGCCCGTTTCAGGTAAAACCTCACCCCCACCCGCGCCCCATCATCTGTTAAAATCGAGCTCCAGGGAGACGCACCTGGAGTGCCCTTCTGACTCCACTGCCCTAGTCTGGGAAGTCATTATTATGAGTTTCACTTTGCGTTACTCCAGGCCTCTGGGAACCTGCGGCCCTGGCTTCGCGGCCTGGGATCTTGTGAAGTGCAGACTCTGAGCACCGGCCGGGCCTCCTGAATCAGACTGCACTTAACAAGACCCCTCGGTGATTCACAGGCGCATCAAAGTTCAAGACGCACTGCTTTAACTCATTGTTTCTAAAAAAAAAAAAATTCAGAGTCTCCCAGGGCGCTTTAAAATAAGGACACCTGGGTCCCGCCCCTCGGACGTTTCGATCGCGGTTCAACTTGATACCCGGACTCCAGCCGCGGAGATCGAAACGTCCGAGAGGCGGGACCCAGGTGTCCTTACTTTAAAGCGCCCAGGGAGATGCTTTCGCGCTTGAGCGCTTCCCTGCCCTGCCCGGACCGGGTTCTAACTCGAGGCGTTGCTCAGCGCCCGCTCCCGGGGGCCCCTCTGCGGGGACGCTGTGCAGCCGCCCAGCAGCCAGCCGAGCAGGCGCGTCGGGCCCCGCGAGGCCTGGGGGCTGCTGTCGAGCGCGAGGGAGGAGGCTGAGCGAGCGGTGGAGGGCGTGCGGCGGCGGCGGCGGCTGTTGCCCGAGCCACCCAGCTCGCTGTCGTCCACCAGCACGCTCTCCAGCACCGCGCGCAGCGAGCGCCGCAGCTTGCGCAGCATGTCAGGGCAGGTAAGCACGTAGAGCACCGGGTTGGCCACGCTGTTGAAGAAGGCCAGGCTGGTGACAAAGGGCAGACCGCGCCACACGAGCGGCCGCAGCCCGGGGTCGGAGTGCGCCCGCGCCTCCAGCAGGCTGAACACGTGGTAGGGCCCCCAGCAGAGCGCGAAGGCCGCCACGACCGCCGCCACCAAGCGCACGAAGCGGCTGGGCCGCCGACGGCCGCGGTAGTGCAGCTGCCAGCTGACGGCCGCGTGGCTCAAGGCGATGACCACCAGCGGCACCAGGAAGGCCAGCAGGAACTTGCTGACGGCCAGGGCCGCCTGGCGCGAATTGCACGTGGCGTCGCGGTCAGGCCCCGGGCTCAGGAGCAGCACGTTGTAGTAGCACATGATGCGCCCGTCCAGCCTCGAGATGGTGTCGCGGAACACGAAATAGGGCACCGTGTTGAGCAGCGCCAGCGCCCAGAGCACCAGGCAGACTTTGTGCGCCGCGGCCACGGTGCGGTGGTTCTGCGCCCACACCGGCCGCACCACCTGCAGGCAGCGGTCCAGGCTGATGGCGCTGAGCAGGAAGCCGCTGGCGAACATGTTGAGAAAGAAGATGGAGGAGTGTAGTTTGCAGAAGGTGGTGCCCAGCTCCCACGAGTGGCCCACGGCCAGGAAGTAGGTGAAGAAGGGCAGGGACGCAGACGCCAACAGGTCGGACAGCGCCAGGTGCAGCACCCAGGTGGTGATCACGGTCTGGCGCATGCGGCAGCCCACCACGAAGAGGATGAGTCCGTTCTCCACCAGGCCCAGGACCGAGGCCAGCCCGTGCAGCAGCACGGCCGCGTGGTCGATGTAGCGGATGCTGGTGTTGCTGTGGCTCTGGAGACGGCTCATCTGCTCCAGGATGGGGCAGAGCGGCTTCAGCGTGACGTTGGCCGACATCGTGGGGCTCTGCGGTGGAGGGAAGGAAGCGCCTAGGTTGACAGTGCAGGGGCCACGGGGGAACGAAGAGAGGGGCCTGGAGTGGGACCCTCCCCAGGAGATGCCAATGTAACCCACGAATATACTGGGCGGGGGGAGGGGAGATAACATCCCGGCATTGCTGTGCAACATTGGGCAGGTCATTCAACCTTCCTGAGCCTGTTTCTTCCTCTGTAACTTGGACGTCAGTCATCACAGCACCTAGCTCAGAGAATTACTGGGAGAATTAATTGAGTTAATACATAAAAGCATTTAGCACACAGCAAGTGCTATATTAGTGTCATTGTGGTGATTATGAAGCAAATAGTCTAAGATCACACAGAGATAGAGGAACAAGGTTAGGCCACGCCAGTCCCAGAGCACTGGGTGGGTGTGGGGGGCAGTGAAGGAGGCCCCACATGTAGGGCAGGAGGGTTCTGCTGGCCTGGGGGCTGGAGGTGCTGCCCCTTCCCACCCACAGCACCACCAGACCTTGCCTCTCCACAGATCCTCCATGCAGCTTCCGCACGCAGTAGTGGCTGGTTAGATGTGTTGACCATGAACAGTGGGACCAGCCCCGTTCTCTGATGGTTGGAGAGGAAATAAGATAAGAGCCAGGAGAGGTGGGTAGGAGGAACTCTCACATGGGGCTCTGGAGGCCCAGTGGGGCCAAAAGATCTCTCCCCTCTCGGGGGCAGCCACAGCAGCTCTCTCTGTGTCCCAGGAAACCCACCCCTGTTCATTCACTTACTCCCTCACGCACTTATCCAACAAATAAGACATGCATGCTCACACCCTCACTGAAAGCCTGAAAGACCATCAGATGTGAACCTGGTCACGATCTGTGAGGACCGAGGAAATTGCATGAGGCTCCATGCAGGAGGTAGAGGGCAGGTAGCAGGGGACGGGAACTCAGGTTGTCCTGGGCACTGCTGACACTCTGGGTACTGTGGTAGGTCCTTCACATAGGTGCTGTCTTTCTGGCTCTAGAAGGAAGGTGCTACTACTCCATCCCATTTTATAGATGAGAAAACTGAGCCTCAAGGGGTTAAATAACTGGTCCAGAGCCACCCAGACAGCATAAATGTGGAGAAGCAAGTTTCATAGCCGCCTGTGTGCTTTCCTCTAGCCCCACTCCAAGGAAGAGAGGATGGAGGAGGAAGAAGAGAAGGACAGCAGGCGAGGCAAGCAATGGTCTTCAGTACTCATCTTTCTAGGGAAAACATTGTTAGCTAGGATGAGAAAACCCATTCCCTTCCAGAGACCACAGTCCTTTTATAGGGTGGGGTCCTGGGATATCAAACTAGAATTTTGCTGGCAGATGAGCTCCTTGGAGCTGGGGATCTGCAGATAGATGGAAGAGGAGCCTGTGCTTCCTGACTATGGGCACACTTCCTAAGCTTTGGAGTGTGCAGTGCAGTTACATTTGCAACAAACATATGAGACCCCATTTTTCAGAAGAAGAAACTGACGAAGTTCAGAGAAGCACAGCAATTCGCCCAGCGCTCCCCAGCTGCAGCGGTGGGGCCGGGACTTCACTCCCAGCAGGCAGCCAAGTGCCATCCCCTCTGCCCTGAAACATTCCCTGCAGGCCAGCTGCTGCTTATCCAAGTCCCATAGGGATGATCAGAGAGCACAGTCCTGCTACCCTTTGGAACCACCAGATCAGTCCTTCTGATTCTGTGGAGACAGCCCCCAGCGTCCCAGGATTGAGAGCCCAGCAGCTAAGGTCCAGCTTTGGCAGGTTAAAAAAAAAAAAAAGGAGGGGGCGGTGGACAGAGTGCAAGCTTGTGGGAGTCCAAGACCTGGGTTTGAACCCCAGCTCCTTGGCTTCCTGGCTGCGTGAACTTGGGCCAGTCACCCTAAACCTGCTGCCATTGTCTTCCCACATAGACTGTTGGTGAATATTGACAGACAGCTGAGCAGTTTACCCTGGTACCTGGCATGGAGTTAATGCCTAAGAAAACTTAGTCCTTGCCTCCTCTGGGCATCAAGTCTCCTCCAATCTTTGGAAAACTCAACCTTCTGCCATCCTAGCTAGTAACAGCCCTCTCACCTAGTAAAACTTTGCCTTCTCCTGTGGGTCCAGAGAGGGTAGTAGGCTGCTCAGCCCCTGGGCCACTGCCTCCTTACCTGGGCACGGAGAGGGCACGGGATTCCAGCCCTGGTGGCCGTCAGCTCCTGACGGCAGCTAGACAAGAGGCAGCAGGCAGGCAGGGGCAGCAGAGGGAGGCTGAGAGAGGAAATAGCAGTCAGCCCCAGTGCTTGTGTGTTTAGGGGTGGGGTGGGGTAGGAGGAGGCGGGGACAGCTGGAGAGTGAGTTGTCACACGAGTGTTCAAATATCATCAATCTCCATCAATGCCAGCAGCCCCTGCTCCACCCACCCCCACTTCACGAAGGAGAACTGCAGTAATCCAGAGGGTGGTGCAAGTGCACGTGAAAATATCGATGTGTGCAAGACAGTGTGAGCCCGAGTGTGCGGAGGGGTGTGCCTTGGAGAGTGAGCAGTGTGTGGGGTAAGTGCGTGAGGAGAATGACTCGTCCGTCTGTGCACTCTTCCTGGGCTGCTGTCTCCTGACACCATAATCCTCAGAGAAGAAACCCCTCCAGCTCTTCTGAGTTTCCCAGGCAGAGGCGGGGGCCTGTCCATGAGGAACCCGAGGGCTCTCTGGCCAGGCGAGTACAGCGGGGAAGTGAGGGCAGTAGGAAGGACGCCGGCCAAGAGGTCAGGCGCTCCTGTTTGCTGGTCCTGGGGGTTGTCATCTGTGAGCAGGAGCAGTAGCATCTGCTTTACAGGCTGTGGCAAGGGTGGGATGAGATGGATGACACCAAGCTCCCGGCACACAGTTAATGTTTATAAAAATCAGCTTCCTTCCCCTCTGAGGGAAAAATGAATATGGGCTCTAAGGCAAAGGTCATATAGCTTTTACTTAAAACAGGCTCAATTTTGGGAGGCCGAGGCAGGCAGATCACTTGAGGTTCAAGACCAGCCTGGCCAACATGGCAAAACCCCATCTGGACTAACATATAAAATTTAGCTGGGCATGGTGGCACACGCCTATAATCCCAGCTTCTTGGGAGGCTGAGGCACAAGAATCGCTTGCACCTGGGAGGTGGAGGTTGCAGTGAGCCAAGATCACGCCACTGCACTCCAGCCTGGGTGACAGAGTAAAAACTCTGTCTCAAAAAAAAAATTGAAATTTAAATTTTAAAAAAATGGCTCAAAGCCCTAGGATCAGAGAAGTTTGCATTTTATTGTTTCCTAACTCCTTACTCTCATTTGCTGATCAAGCTTCCTGGGGTCAGCACCATCCCTTTGACCTCAGCATCTCAGCACCTAATAGATACTCATTAAAACTCGTTAAGAACTCAATATCCCTGTATCAAGGCAAAGGCACCTCCCGTGGGGTGGACCACACAAGCATCTTCCATTTAGACTGAGGCTTAATGCAGAGCCTGATGCATGATAAACTCTTGCTGAGAAACTCCCATCATTGAGTGGAAAGTGAAGAAAATGTTATGCCCTTGTGATGGGGACGATATATCTCGTAGCCCAATACAGCAGATCAGTAAGCACCTTAGTGATCCGCATCATTAGCAATAGGAAAAGGTCTCCTCTCCCCCAGGTCAGGGAAGGCTTGACTTCCTAAGACAAATGCCTGCAGCCCTCCAGAGAAAATAGGTGGATGATTCCTTTCCGCTTGAGGAACATGCCCTCTTTTCCAGCCACCCCCGACACCCAACCCACTGAACCACAGACAAGACCATGTGTTTCTTGTCTGCACACAGACCGTGTCAGACTGTGGTTAAGCCACACTCCGGCTGCAGGCCTTAGTCCCTAAAACACAGTCTCCTCCAAGGCTTGGAGCTCAGCTTCAGAGCCAGGAAGAATAGAGGTCGGGTCCCTTGCTGGGACTTCGGGGCCAGTGTTTGGATGCCACTGCCACTCCCCAGCTATGAGACCTGGGGCAAGGGACTTCACAGCAGTAAAATATGAACTTTAAAAGGTGCTCCTTCTGCCAAGAAGGGCTCCAGTCCCAGCCCCAAGGTACAGGGGTTGGGGCCCAGATTTCTCTTTGGACTAAGAAAAAGAATCACCCCTTCCCCACTGCCCCACCACACCCCACCCCGCAGACACATCTCAGCACCAGGGCATCAGGCTTGAGATAAGGCACAGCCCTTCCTCCTGGTCTCATCCCACCCTTGCCCCCTCCACTGGTGCCCTTGTGCAGTGAACATCCCACACAACCTCTCCTGGCAGCCCTGCTGAGATGCTTCTTTCCTGGCTAAAAAACCCTTACTCATCTGCCCCTTCTCAGCCCCTGTTTCCAGTCCTGTAATCACTGCTGTGGCTCATGTCCAGACCTCTCTGAAGAAAATTTATTACTAAGTAAACAAAAAAAGTTACTAAGCTTAATGAAGTTAGCAAAACAAACCAAAAAAGTATTCCAGATGAGCAGGGCCCAAAGGCATTTTCTGAAGAAGAAGGCAGTGATGTTCTCGGGCCTCTGGGATGCACTCCCAGTGGAAATGGCCCTCCCGCACGTATTCAGGCAGCCTGAGTCCCACAGCCTCCACGTTGGAGGACACCAAGGGCAGGAAGTCCGGGGGCCAGGATGCAGGCCTTCCCTCCGCCCCTGGGGTTCCAGGAACTGAGAGCCACTGCTGGGTCCTCGGAGAGGAGGGGAAGGGTCTTGTGAGTGCACAGCGGCAGGAGGGACCCTGGGCCAGGGCTCACTGGCTGGGAGCAGAGGACAGGAGCCTCCAACCGACCAGGTCACACCTGCTCAGCCTGAGACTAAGAATAAGAAAAGTGAATCGGCACCTTTGTGGCTATCTCCAGGTGTCAGGCCTGTGCTGGGGACACAGGAAAGGCACCAAGACTGACTCCTTACTCTCATTTGCTGATCAAGCTTCCTGAGGTCACCACCATCCCTTCAATTTCAGCACCTAATAAATACTCATTAAAACATATTAAGAACTCACTATCCCTATATCAAGGCAAAGGCACCTCCCACAGGATGGACAGCACAAGCATCTTGCATTTAGACCTAGGCTTAATGCAGAGCTGATGCATAATAAACTTGCTGAGAGACTCCCATCAGGAGTGGGAAATGGGCCTTACGGAGCTCAGAATCCAGAGGAGGGTGACCGGGGCCTTGGACAAGGGCCCCAAATGCACAGACAAGGGATTTTCAACTCGAATCTGTATCCAAGTCACTTGCAGGGTTGTTAAAACCCCAGTTGCTGGGCCCCGATCCCAGAGTGTCTGATCCAGTAGGTCTCAGTCGAGCCTGGGAATGTACATTTCTACCAAGTTCCCAGGGACACTGATGCTCCTGACCAGGGACCGTACTGAGGACTGAGCCACTAGAATGGAGAACGGTGGGGTCCTCGGGTCTGGGGGACTGCCTTCTCCACCCTGGTCGCCAGCAGGGCCGTTTAGTTGAGGAATCTGCGGGACCACCTCCCCTCTCTGAACCTGTGCCCTTGTCTCCACCGTGAGGATTAAAGGAGATGATAAACCACGTGCTCAGCTCAGGGCTAGGCACAGCGTGAGGACACAGGTGCCAGCTGCCATCATTATTATTTCTTGGGGTCTTCTTGTCTGCAAGGACGCTGATGGGAGAACATCAGTGATGGGAGGTTGAGCCTCCCTGGAGCGGTGAGAGATTAAGTGGGGAGAAGATGGCCCCAGCCTTGGGCCTTCTGATCTGAAGAGTGGGTTGGGCTGGGCTGGGCTGGGCTGACTGCCTGCAAAACCCTTCAGCCTGGCCTCTCTGAGAACTGGGGGAGAGGGCAGGGTCTGATCTTTATCCTGAGCCATGCCCTGCCTTATCCCATGCCTGTGTCCCCCAGGGCTGGGAGAACGATGCAGCCACATTCAGGCCCTAGTCCCTAAAGCACAATCTCCTCCAAGGCTTGGAACTTAACATCAGAGCCTGAAACAGCGGAAGTGGGGTCCCTCACTGCAACAGCACCACCTTCCACCGCAGAGGACACAAATCTGAGCCTGTCGCTTCCTGGCATGGGAACCTCTGCTGCGTCTCTGTTGCCCATGGGAGCTGTCCAGATTCCCAACCTAGCATTGACGGCCTTTCAGGATCCATCCACCAACCATCAGTCCCGATACCCCCTTCCTCATGTCCACAGCTACCCCATGCTTTCTTTCCCACCTCCATGCCTTGGCACGTGCTGCTGCTGCTGCTGCTGGGAATGCCTTTCCCTCCACTACGCATCCTGCAGGGCCCCTTCCTGAGACCATCAATGTCACTAGGTACTCAGAGGATACTTACAGCATCAATGTTTAACAAATACAGCCAAGGGAGCGAAGGAACGAAGAAGGGGCTGATGGCCCCCCAGGCACAGGGCCCAGCCCCAATGGGCTTTCTTCTCCCTCTGGCCCTACCTTAGGAAGAGGGTTTTAATGTTCGTTTCTGGCCACTTTAAAGAAGTCAGTGAAACAGGAAGTGAGAGGCCCGGCAGGAAGCAGGGTGAAGCCTGCCCTGGGATCCTCCAGCTCCTTGCTCAGAGGCCCTCGAGCTGCCCACACCCAGCAGTGGAGCAGCATGGCAGGGCCCCAAATGACACCTTGGGGAGGCCCAGGTTGAGTTCCCTGGTGCCACCATCACCCACGGGACTCCTCACATGGCCAACAAGCCCCTTGGTGATCTGTCCCACCCAAGCCTCCCCCAGCATTGCTGCTACTCCCAAGTGGCATCCTGTCATCAGCCAGCACTCACCACTGCCCCCTCCTGTTCTGGGTACACCAGGCCATTTCTGTGCCCTAGCTTATGCTGCTTGTTCTCTGCTCTGGAATGCCTTTTCTTCCCTTGGCCTCTCAGTGAACTCCTATTCATCCTTCAAAACCCTGGTTAGAGGTTGCCTCCTCTGGGAAGACTTTGCTCATTCTCTCAGATAGATCCACATGCTGTCCCTCCCTCCCATATCTCCACTTCACTTGACCTGCAGCCCCCTTGTCCTCCCTGGTAACTGTTTTTCACACAACTGTTCACCACCCTCATGAGCCACCTGAAGACACAGACTTATTCCTGCTTTATCTCCTCACCTCCAAAGCCAAGCAGAGAGCCTGACACACGAGAGGGATCCCAGCAAATATTTGCTGAACAGAATGAATTTCTAAAATTGGCTTCCATGTGCAGACCCCAAAGGACCCCCATTCCTCAACATGACCCATTCTGGAACCTTTTATTTTTGAGACTGAGTCTTACTGT